GGGTTAGTTCACCCGGAAATATAAAACGGAAGCAGCATTGCTCGCGGCTCGATCTTATTGTTAATCGACTTATCTATTAGAACAGCGAACGGCAGTTTAACTGTCTCCTTGACAGCCAGCAACATCAGCCGATATCAATAACAGATATCTCAATAACAGCAAGTTATAAACGTTTGGACATTGATGCATTGGGACATTGATGTTGGCGCATTGTAACGGGACGTGAGAGAGGCTAAGGTTAGGGAGACAAGTGTTTGATCGGCGGACTTGTCGGTAACAGTGAGAGCTTGACGCAGATCGACACGGCACGGTATTACACAACACAACAACACCCCTTCTCTCTCTCGCCCTTTCTTTCTCTCTCTCTCTCTCTCTCTATATATATATATCTTTCTCTTGCCCTCTCTCTCTCTCGCCCCTCCTCTCTCTCTATCTCTCTCCTGCCCTCTCTCTCTCTCTCTCTCTCTCTCTCTCTCCCCCCTTCTTTCTTTCTCTCTCTCTCTCTCTCTCTCGTCCCTTCTCTTTCTCCCTCGTCCTTTCTCTAGCTATTGGCGCCAGTGAGCGACGCGTCCCTAACCTGCACACGCATACCTTCCTTCCGCTTATGCTAATACTGAGGAGGTTCAATGCAGGGCCAGGCGAAGCGAGGTACCGCTTCCACACAATCTGTCGCATTTCTCCTTGCACGATAAGTATAGTGTGTGCGCACACCAAGCGGCAGTTACCGCGTGGTTGTCGCACAACGTTCGTCTAGACGTTCCCTCTGCTCTCCGCTCGCTGCCGTAGCGAGGCAGCGCGAGCGGACGTCGCGCCCATCTATGCGCATAGGCCGCGACATTTCCGAGTTGACAATTCTGCGGACACACGAGGAAGTCAGTCGGGCAGTTGATTTCTCCCGCAGGCTCTGTGCTGACGGCCCTGCGGTAGCGGAGACTGTGCCATGCAGTACGGCCTGTCTCCGTTAGCACGTGGCGGATGCGACATTGTATTTACATTTGTAATTTCATGCGACACTCGTATTGTATTTACGTTTCTCTAAAATCTCTAGCAATTAATTTCTGCTACGCGTTGCGCAAAATTGAACAGCAACGGCGAAAATACATGGAGATAGAAATCGTAAAATCGTTTATTCGCGTAATGTGATAAGGTGCGCGCATGCATGCAATCACTCGTCCGCCGTTACGTGGGTTCGTTTGTTCCGGTGACACTGGCAGCCGAGTTATCAGCCACGGAGAATCATGTTACGTTGAGAGTAACTATGACATTTCCCCATCTGTCGCTTGCGGGAAGCCATAACCATCCGATCTTTTATTATTATTATTATTATATTATATCTAGTTATTAACGGTCGCATGCGCGCAGGTGTAACGATACCCAACGCCGAAATAACAACGCGGAAAAAATGTCGTCGAAAAAACGAAAATATCTATCACAAAGACGTGTATCACATGACGGTGGCCGTTCGCTCAGACAATGTCTGAAGCGACTGTAGCGTTTAATTCACGTTCTCTGCTGCTAGATGACGCCACCGTCGCCCTTCCCTCCGCGCCCTGCTCGCGGACGACGATCGGCGGCAGACGCCGCGGCAGCATCTTCCCGCCGTCGCCGCCAGGCGGCAGCGGCATCGTCCAGCCGTGCTTCGCTGGCGTCTGCTCGGCGCCCGTAGCAACGTCGTTGCTAGGCGCGGCCGCGGCGAGTGGCGCCACCTTGTGCGCTTTCCGCCAGAGTTTGCGCACGCCGTCGGCGATCAGCCAGGCGTAGAGCGGCAGCGGCGACAGCATGTAGTAAGCTAGCGGGACGAGGCTCGCGATGTCCGAGTCCGGCCGATCGAACAGAGCGTTGACCATGACGATGACGATGACGCCGTTCTGCATCGCCACCTCGATCACGCTGGTGATGGCGCGCGCGCGGCTCAACCGCGTCGCCGCCGACAGCGCCGCCGCTACGACGTATGCAATGGCCGTCAGCGCACCGCTCGGCAACACCTGTGCCCAGGTGAGTATCGCCCAGAGGTGCCAGTAGGTGGCGACACCGACGACGACGAGGACGACCATGAGAACGACGGTGACGGGTCGCAGCACTTTCTCGATGGCGTCGGCCCATGTCGGCTTGTAGCGACGCAGTAGCACGCCGACGATGCACGGGGCGACGAGCAGTCCATTATGGTTAAATTGCTGCATTATACTTCTTATTTTACTATATTATTCGATGTGAACATACACTCGTGACGCATACATAGCCCATAGCAAGCAATTAATGTTAGGAACACTAATATCAAATCGTCCAGGTTTTTTTTGGATTTTTAACTAGTTGAGAAACAATCTTATCAGGTAAGAATTTGACGATACGTTTAGTCCCGTTAGTTCTTTCTTTTAATGTAAAAAAATGGCAACCAAAATTTTACAAAACGCTACAATAGAAATGTAATAACGGCACGAGAACGCTACGAGCAAATTATAAGCACGCTATAATAATAGTATAAATTGAAATAACGCTACAATAAGATTGAAAAAAAACACTACAAAATAGTGACTCAGAACTACAAGAAAATTACGAGATCGCTACAAGAAAGTGTCAATGGTAATAAAATAACGCTGCAAGAATATTGAAAGAACGCTGCAAGAATATTGGAGGAACGCTGCAGGAATATTGGAAGAACGCTGCACAATAGAGACTCAGAACTACAAGAAAATTAAGAGAAGGCTACAAGAACGCCATACAATAACTGTGCAATGACGCTATACAATATGGCTTTATACAATAACGCTGCAAGAAGATTGAAAGAACGCTGCAGGAATATTGGAGGAACGCTGCAAAAATATTGGAAGAACGCTGCAAAATAGAGACTCAGAACTACAAGAAAATTAAGAGAAGGCTACAAGAACGCCATACAATAACTGTGCAATGACGCTATACAATAAGGATTTACAGTAACAGTACAGTAACGCTATATAGTAAAGCTATATATTAACGCTAAGCAGAGGACACGGATTGGCGGCACGTAGATGGACTTACCTGCTGTGACAGCGCACATCGTGCACTCACGACGATCAGTGATAGTATCACCTGCCAGCGCATGCTGTCGTCTGCGTAAAGCTACGTCGTTCTGTCACTCCTGTGTAGCGTGTGCGGTGACGAAGTTGTTATGCGCTAGAAAGGAAGGCAATGACATCGTTACTGCGATGTTGCGATCTGCCGATGTTTAGCAACGGGTTGAAGTTGTTGTGTCTTTTTCTCCTCTGTCTATCTATCTATCTGTCTATCCAGCCACCCATCCATCCATCCATCCATCCATCCATCCATTCATCCATTCATTCATCAATTCATCTATCCACCCATCCACCCACTCGTCCGCCCGTCCGTCCATCCGTCCCTTCGTTCGTCCGTCCATCCGTCCGTCCGTCCGTCCGTCCGTCCGTTTGTTTGTCCGTCCGTCCATCCATCAATCCATACATCTATCCATCCATCCATCCATCCATCCATCCATCTATCCATCCACCATGCATCCATACCATACATCGCCATCCTGCCATTCCGCATCATGCATCCATCACCATCCATCCATCTATCCATGCATCTATCATCCATTTCTGACCCATTCATCCATCTGACCATCCCATCCCTCAGAATTCCATCCAGTCCATCCATAACATTCCATTGCCCATCCATCCATCCATTCTTCCCTCCATCCCCTCATTCATTCCATGCACATCCATCCATCCATCCCATGCGCATAGCATCCATGATCCTCTTACCTCCCATACCCTCCATGCCATACACATGGCCATTCCATTCGGTTCGATACATGTCCCATCCATCTGACACACCCATTCCATCCCCATCGCATCCATTCGCGCTCAAATCACCATTCATCCATCCATCCCAGTTCCATACCATTCATGAATTCTCTATCTCTCTTTTCTTCGTTCTTCTCTTTCTTTCTTTTATCGCGCGCGCCGCTCAATCGCTACTATCTCTCTACTCTGCTTTTTCTCGTATCGTTTCTCTCTCTCTATTCGTCATTTTCGCTGTTCTTTCTTGATTCTTCCAGTTTCTTATCTTGCCGCGCTCTGCGCGCTTTCTCGTAATTTCCAAAACGCGTATGTATACTATATATTATATAATATGATATATATAGTCTTACCCCCCACAGACCAGACGACGATTAAACCTACACCTACTGACATTGTTAACACTGCTAGTCTTCATACAAACTTTCGCCAGAAATGAACAACATAAACTATGCGCATATCAGGCGAACTCAAACCGCTGCGCCGCCCCGCCTGATCGTAAGCATACCACCCGCAGGCCACCGGCTAAAAAGGCGGATGCAGCTCCCCGTGAGCGCCCATCTTCGTAGCCCCTGATTACCTGTCCTATGATTTTCTTCTCCTAACGCTGACGCTAGCGTTCATACCGGCGTGTGACTCACCGACTTGTCCGTCGCGGAGAGAGCCGAGATTTGCACAACCGGCCCGGAGGACAGACGAGCAGTAACTCAACCGAAGGCCCGGCGCCAGGCGACGGCCCGGCCTTGAGGACCACCGCCATCGGGCCAGCCGGGCCAGCGGGTTGCCCGGCCGCCGGCGCGGGATCGGCGCCTTTTATTACGTGGAGGACGCGTCGCGCGCCGAGGCCGCCCCCTGGTGCCGACCGCAGCTTGACCGGCGATTCGTCGTGTCGCCGGCGACGGTAGAAATTAGCGCGGGTTTGTTGGCGGCGTGAGGCGGAGATGAGGTAGAGCGGCCTATGCCTCCGCCAGGCTATGCAGACTAATCTCGGCAGAACAAGC